TCAACCTCCACACAGATAATCTATCTGCTCCCAAATGCTCTCAGACACTTTTTCTCTATCTACCCTCAATTATGTATATTTTTCCAAACATTTATTAAGTATTTTAACACTGGAAATCAAATCTCTATCTACTGAATGATTGTGTAATATGGTTTAGCTCTGTGTCCCATGTTCAAATCTCATCTTGAATTGTAATCCCCACAATCCCCATGTGTTGAGGGAAGATGATGAGAGATGATGGTGAAAGATGGTGAGAGATGGTGAGAGATGGCTGGATTATGGGGGCAGTTTTCTCCATGCAGTTCTCATGATAGTGAGTTAGTTCTCATGAGATCTAATGGTTTTATAAGTGGTTGACAGTTCCGCCTTCACATGCCTTCTCTCCTGCTGCCTTGTGGAGAAGGTGCCTGCTTCCCCTTCTGCCAGGATTGTAAATCTCCTGAGGCTTCCCCAGCCATGAGGAACTGTGGCTCAATTAAAGCTCTTTCCTTTATAAATTACTCAATCTCAGGGAAGTTCTTTATAGCAGTGTGAGAAGGAACTAATTCCTCCTCCCACTCATCCTCCTCCTCCCCCTTGACCTTGCCCTGCCCTTCCCTTCCTCCTCCTCCTCCTCCTCCTCCTCCTCCTCCTCTTCCTCCTCCTCTTCCTCCTCCTCCTCCTCCTCCTTTTTTCTTGACAGGGTTTCTAGCACTTGGGCTGGAATGCAGTGGTGTGATCACGGTTCACTGTAGCCTTGATTCCCCAGGCTCAAATGATCCTCCCACCTCAGCCTCCCAAGTAGATGGGACCATGGGTGTGCACCACCACACCCAGCTAGTTTTTTTTTTTCCTTTTTTTCCATAGAGATAGGGTCTTGTCATGTTGCCCAGGCTGGTCTTGAACTCCTAGGCTCAAGTGATCCACCCTCCTCGGCCTCCCAAAGTGCTGGGATTACAAGCGTGCTCCACTGTGCCCTGCCTGTTGAGTTTCTAAGAGCTCATTTCTCAGATGCTGTTTCTTTGTTATATCAACCCCCAAATGCTATTATCAATTCTCATATATTAATATGTTAATAATTGGCACATTTATATCTCTAACCCAAACAGGCTTTTGGGGCTTCTCCGACTGCAAAATTTGCATCTCAGTTTGGATGGCATATGGCACTTCACATTTAATTAGTCAAAACTAAGTTCTTGAGCTTCCTTTAAAACTTATTACCCTTATTTTCCACTTCTTCTAAATGGCACCATAATTTATCCAGTTATTCAGTCCATATGTTGAGAAGTTAGTATTGATTACTGTCTCTAAACATTCTCATCCAAACTTTTACCAATCCTGTCAATTCTACCTTCAAAACAAATCTAAAAATGTATCAGTTTCTCATCACTTTAAACCATCACTACCCTAGTTCAAGGGAGCATCATCTCTTCCTTGAACTTTTGCAATAGCATTAGAACTGGTCACAGTGTTTTCATTCTGTCTCTCATAGCAGTCCAAGTGGTAGATGTTTGAATGCAATCAAGATCTTATTCTACTGATTAAAATCTTTCCATGGACTCCCACCCACTGTAATTGAAAAATAATTAAAAAATAAAAAAATAAAAGCACCTTTTTCCCTGCCCTGCACTCATTATAGCTGGTCTGCTCTGGCATGCCCCCACCCACCTTTCCCCTGCTTTATTTTGAGTCCCTCTCTTAGGCTTACTATGTTCCAGCCACTGGGATTTCAGTTCTTTGGAATAAGTCAACCTTTCTTGGGCCTTACGGTATTGATTTATAGGGCTCATTTCTCTTCTTTGCCTTTTTGAGTGCTTGTCTCCTTTTATACTTTAGGTTTGGGGGAGCATATATAATTTTTCATGACATAGAGTTATATATCAAGACTTTATAGAATACCTCATGCTGTTACTCTCTCTTCCTTAACATTTATCTTTTGGAAATGGAATAGCCCAAGCCAAGCCTTGTGCATCATATTCTCTTAATGATGTTAAATCCACATCCTTTCCAGGAAAAGAAAGCATTGGTCAGTGACAAAGAATGAAAAGGTGCCTGCTGGCCTATAAGGCAAGATTCTTTGAGGGTCCCTGACCACACTGATGTTCATAACTCTCTTGCATGAACAGAAGAAAAATATTCTAATTGCAAAAAGTTGTACTCTGCTCCTCATAGCTCAGACTGCATCTAAAGTACGGAGTTAGATTGCAGCTATGCTCTTTAGGGGAGATATAGATGAAGATAAGACCTATGTTTCTGAGCAAAGGGTTCAATGTACAGGAGAAGATCTCCTGAAAGTACACTAGTACTGTGTGTTGTGTGTGTCCTTCATGAGAATTGTGTACATTATAGTTTTATTTCTTTTTATAATTTTTTTGAGATGAATATAGAACAATAACTAAAATAAATTCTTAATTGTCCAATCCAAGCCAGGATACCCTGATTTCCCTTGAGGTTAAGAATAGACTTTATTGACTGGGCACAGTGACTCAAGCCTGTAATCCCAACACTTTGGGAGGCCGAGGTAGGTGGATCACAAGGTCAAGAGATCGAGACCATCCTGGTCAACATGGTGAAACCCCATCTCTACTAAAAATACAAAAAAATAGCTGGGCATGGTGGTGCGTGCCTGTAATCCCAGCTACTCAGGAGGCTGAGGCAGAAGAATTGCCTGAACCCAGGAGGCGGAGGTTGCGGTGAGCCGAGATCGCCATTGCACTCCAGCCTGGGTAACAAGAGCGAAACTCCATCTCAAAAAAAAAAAAAAAAAAAAAAAAAAGAATAGACTTTATTGCATTATATATTTTCATATATTAGGAGAAACCAAAATCAAGATTCTTTTAAATTAAGTCACGTTATCATAGGTTAATACTTTAGTGCTAACAAGATAAAACTGAAGGTATATAAAAAAGAATTTGAGAGCATTAATAAGTCCAACTGTCAGTGAACTCTTAGATTAATCTCTCTGGTAAATGTGTTTTTTCTCTGAGGCATGCCTGGAGTTCTTTTTCAAAATAGAAAAATAAAATAAAATGGCAGCTAGCATCTTCCAACTTTCTAGAGGAAATTTGGCAATTTAGGAGATGCTAGCTCCCATTTTATTATTTCTATTTTGAAAAAAAATTTTTGAGACAGGATCTCACTCTCTTAGACTGATTATGACTCACTATAGCCTCAAATCTACTGGGCTCAATGGGATCCTTCCACCTGAGCCTCCTAAGTAGCTGGGAATTTTTCTAACTAGAAATGTGGTCTCACTATGTTGCCCAGGCTGGTCAGCTTCCATTTTATTGTCTTCTTTGTATGTCTTCCATACTACATTGATGCCTTCATCATTTTCTCTTCTATTCCGTACTATGCCTGGCTTCCTGATACTGCTAAGAGTTCCCTTCTGGTGTCTGCTTGCCTATAGTATCCTTCATGGTTTTCAGTTCTATTTGCACAATCTGATTTCCACTTAGACATAATGAATCAGAGTCTGCAGGGATAGAGCCAAGAAGTTTGTGTGGAAAACAAAACAAAAACAAAATAAAACTCCATATATGGTTCTGAACTATAGCCCAAAGTAAAATCCATGGGCTGCAAATAATTCAATTTGAATCTTGCCTGAGAAATATGGGCAAGTTATTTAACTCCCAAAACCTTTAAAAATTTTCATCCAATTTTTAATTCTTTAATTTTTTTCCCCAAGACAGAGTCTTGCTCTGTTGCCCAAGCTGGAGTGCAGTGGTACCATCTTGGCTCACTGCAACCTCAGCCTCGTAGATTCAAGCGATTCTCCTGCCTCAGCCTCCCAAGTAGCTGGGATTATAGGCACATGCCACCAAGCCCAGCTAATTTTTGTATTTTTAGCAGAGACAGCGTTTCACCATGTTGGCCAAGCTGGTCTCAAACTCTTGACCTTGTGATCTACCCACCTCAGCCTCCTAAAGTGCTAGGATTACAGGCATAAGCCACCATGCCTGGCCCTCATCCAATAACTTTTATTGAAGGTTTATCATGTGTTAGACAATATGCTAAGAACCATATGCAGATTATCTTATTGTATTCATATGATAATGCTATGAAATGAGTATCCTTATTATCTCATTTTACAGATAAAGATTCTGAGGCTTATTGCATTTAGTAAAGTTAGTATACTAAGTGCCAAATATTACACATGTGGTGATTAATGAAGCCAGGATGTAAACTCAGTGTCTGTCTAAAGGATTTATTGTGGTACTTGGCAGATGATAACAGTCACACTCAGTAATGACCATCAGTAGCATCATATTATCATTACTCTTATCATCATATGCCCAGGATTTCTTATCAAATGCTGGTCTTTTTCTGAAGCCAGTAATTAATGCATACCTCATACATTCTTCTGGATTTTTGAAGGGTAAGATGTTGCTAAGTGTCTAATGGACAATCTGTTTTTAATCTCAGAGATCTGTACATCTTACACATTGTTGTGGAAGTTTACAAGAACCCACAATCTCATTTAACATGGAAGTGGAGAAAAGCTAGGTTCTCTTCCCAAGAAGAAAACCCCAAATATATTTCATGAAAGCTTCCGGTAATCTTTGCTATTGTCAAAATGGGATTTCAGTACATAGAAAGATTTCTTCTGTAACCAGTGAGAATAGAGGAAGGTCTGGTATGATCTAAAAGTTTCCTCCAGCATGCACAATGAAGATATCGGAGCCATGATACTGAAGTTTCTTAGTCTAGGTTACCAGTCCTTGCCGTGGGCTTAACTTTTTAACTTTACTTTCTGGTTTTCCCCCCGACATGTTGATTTTTTCACAAAAATGATTCTTAATTGTTCATGTCAAAGGTAAACTTTTTGAAAAGCATAGTGTCAAAATGTTTTATTGCTTTAATAACACATTTTGCCATCTTATCTAACAAATCCAGCAATATCTTACCGATTAGATGTTGTGATAAAAGCACAGCACCGAAGAAATAAACCATTGGTGGAACTACTTATTCGTAACATAGAGAAAAGCAATCTTCATAAAACATAAATGTGACACAGTTACCTGTCATGTTGCAGTAAACTTTCAGAGGCCCCAGAGGTCCACTGCCATCAGGATCTATCCAGTAGTAATTGGACGTCTGGCCTAGGTGTTTGTATGCTTCACAGGAAGGCTCGTAGATAGCTAGAACAAAATATCACATATAAGCACAGAACAAATGGCTCCCCAGACAAACGCCCCAGTGGCACATGTAATGCCAGCGCACCGTTAGTTAGGAGTCGTTCTTCTTCCTAGAATCAGCATTCTTTTTCTCTAAATTTAAATTCATGATTTGCTTCCTTCTCTAGAAGCATTTCTGACCTAACAAAGGCAGCGAGCTCCTGGTATGCCTTTAATGACGGGGACAGGACTAAAGCAATCATTAAACAGATGTCATGTTTATTTTACTGGGGCTCATGATCATTGAAAAATATTTTAATTTATAGTTATTTGTAGATATTAGCCCCTTACTATCAAAAACTATTTTCATAAGTGTTGTTTGCTTCGTTGGTTGCCAACTAAGAGGCCAGAAAAAATTACCCTTCACTCTCTCTGCTTCTCTCTTCTGGACACACGCACACATACTCTCACACACACACATAATTTTTGCATGGTTATTACAGGTTTCCCATAAATAGTATGTAATTTTGAACCTTACTTTATCTCAAAAAAAAAAAAAAAAAACAAGATAGGAAAGAAATTTCTCTGATTCATTTTATTTGTTCCAGGTACTTTAATTACATCAAATCGAGTTTGTGCAGAAAGCTGACATTCATGTAATTAAATTATGTTCTTATTCATTATTTCCCTTTTTATTCCAGTGCTCATGACACATTTTCTTTTTTGCACAAAGACTGCACCTGTTTTCAGAAGTACAAAACGGACATTTACATATCTCCTTTGTAGTTAGAACATCTAAAATACTGCTGTGAAAACTTTTTAAACAGCTCCACCCAGGAATTCATAAAGAATATGAAAGTTCTCTTCAACTAAGATATGGCTTTGGTAAAAATATGTCTACCTGATGACACAAGCAGGGAAGTCTTTGGGTAAGTTGGACTTGAATCGCACTCGTAGGGGTTGTCGTGTGTTAAATTACAAAACAGTACAAAATAAATTACAAAACATTGTAAAGCTTATAATTCTAATGTACTAATTAAAAATAATTGCGTGGTCCTAGAATTAGAGAGCTTTCACTGAGAAGGGTCTCAAGGTTGTTGCCACTTCTCTGGATTTCCAGCTTGGCTGTGCACAAACCTCAGTCGTTACTCTCACAGGAATAATTAGGTTCTGGAAAAACTTGTTTCTCCAACGAAATTCACTAGCACCTGTTTGAGATCAGGAAGTCAGTTTCATGGGTGGTCTGATTTGGGACCTCCCTTTTTAAATCTTCCTCTACCAAGATCTCTGTGCCTCCTTTGGCTTTCACCAAGAAGGTAAGACCTTCAACTCGATGTCATTTCAACGACAGCATCCTAGAATGAAACTTTCTAAAACTCTGTGATCTATTCATTTCTTCTTCCGTGCCTCCCTGCCTCATTTCCTCCTTTTGCACACAGTTATTGAGGAGCTACGGTGTACTGAGGAGTGCGTTAGGCATTGAAGATCCAGCTGTGAACAACACAGATAGAAGGCCTTCGGAACAAAGTTTGTTCACTAACGATTTTGGTATTGCTCATTAGTAAACTACTCTTAGAAGAGGATGGGGCTTGAAAGCTAAGCAAAGCCTAGACATTGTTTGTCCCAGTGTAATTATTAATACACCCACTTTCAATGTCCCAAGGGGCTCATTCAGATGATAAACTACATGGCTGCTCTAATTCTGAATGTCATACCAAGTAGAACAGTACAATAAAATGCAGGGGAAACGTATTTTTAAACTTTTAGCAGGAGACGCCATAAGTCAATATAGGTTGCATATTAACTTATATAGAATGAAAACTCTGTATAGCAAAGCAATAGGTTTTATGGAAGTGATTCAAAAGGTAAAAAGAATATTTAGGCTGTTTCAACTATAGGCTGCCATTTGAAAGCTTACCAGGACTTAAACTGAAGCAATATGACAAAGAATAAATAGGACTGATTCAAATGTTTGTTTTTTAAAGAACTGCAGGACATAGAAACAAGCTGGATATAGGTGTTTAGGAATAAAGAGGAGTTAAGAGTAGCCTAAACTCACAATCTTTGAAAATAAAAATGTTTAATTAATTTTTTACACCTCTCTCCAGATTATTAAAATTGTTATGTATAGTTCTAAAGAAACCAGGTTGTCAGGTGCAAATCCTAGTTTTCCTCTTAGTCCGTTTGGCCAATCTGTCACTGAAACCATTCCCCTTCCTTTCTGTTATAATATTTAGTAATTAATCATTCTCTTTTTCTTCTCCCAATCATTCTTCTCCTTATCATTGTCCTTCATCAAGTACCTTGTTTATAACAGTCATCTTATTAATTGGTTGTTCTATCCAAATATCTCTTCACGTCTCAACCAAATATGCTTTTTAACCAATGTTTGTCTAGTTATGAAACATCACTTTTTAAAAAATTTTTATTATTTTTTAATTTTATTTATTTATTTATTTTTTGAGACGGAGTTTTGCTCTTGTTACCCAGGCTGGAGTGCAATGGCGCGATCTCGGCTCACCGCAACCTCCGCCTCCTGGGTTCAGGCAATTCTCCTGCCTCAGCCTCCTGAGTAGCTGGGATTACAGGCACGCACCACCATGCCCAGCTAATTTTTTGTATTTTTAGTAGAGACGGGGTTTCACCGTGTTGACCAGGATAGTCTCGATCTCTTGACCTCGTGATCCACCCGCCTCGGCCTCCCAAAGTGCTGGGATTACAGGCTTGAGCCACCGCGCCCGGCCATCAAAACATCACTTTTAAGTAATGTGTGATGTTTACTCAATATCTATAAATTATATCACAGATCTTCATCTATGTGTACAAGAACTTTTATTTTCCTAACAAGTTTTTCTCTGCTTCAGCTACTTGCCAATGTAAACGTTGCATTCTGGTCAGGCAAACTCACCATGGGAGCTTGCTTACCTCACCCTCATCCTTTCCAGAGCAGCCTTTATCTATAATATACTACCAGCCTGTTTCTCAATCTACAGAAGTTCTCAGTCAGAGTTAACAATTAGGCTGGGCATGGTGGCTCACGCCTGTAACTGCAACACTTTGGAAGGCCTAGCTGGGAGGACTGTTTGAAGCCAGGAGTTTGAGACCAGCCTGGGCAACACTGTGAGACCCCATCTCTACAGAAATTTTTAAAAAATATTAGTCAGGTGTTGTGGCACATGCCTATAGTCCCAGCTATTGGGAGGCTGAGGGGAGTAAGATGTCTTGAACCCAGGAGTTCGAGGCTGCAGAGATCTGTGCTCATGTGACTACATTCCAGACTGGGTTACAGAGCAAGACTGTCTCAAAACAAAACAAAACAAACAAAATGTTAACAAAGCAGAAGTGGTAAGAAATGTGGCTCTGCAGTCAAACAAAACTGCCGACTTCATTTCAAACTCCAACTCCACAAAACACTACTATGCAATACTGGTGATGTTACCTAACCTAATTTAGCCTTATATGGGGAAGTATGACAGGTATATTCTAGTGGTGTTATGAAGATTGGTGGACCTAATCCATGTCAGTTGCTCAACACAGTGCTTGACCCATGGTAAAGACTCAACAGGTGACATTTTTGGCAATTTTGTTATTAGTATAACAATTGTTAATTTAGGTCCCACTCAAATTCATCCTTCATAAGGAGACTCTTCCTACTTAGTATATCTATCTTACTATGTAACACAGGGTACTCATTGCTTATCTTATACACTGTAATACCTGGTTATCACTGATTAAGGCTTTGATTGACCATTGTTAATTTAATTATGTATACAAATTTTATTTTCTAATAGGACTGTGAGTCATCATAGGGTCAAGGGGCTGTAAAATGTGTTTTCTTTTCTATTCAATACAATCTATTGTGGTAGATATATTTAAGAAATGGCATTATAACTGAATTTAGAGTTTACCTGTTCTTCATCCTATTCTGATTTTGATTAAGGATTATTAGTTGGCTAACCTGAATAAACAGATGCATTAAACATGATGGGAACATCATAAGCATAGGTAACGATTGCATTTTTAAGAATATGGGCATTTTAATAAGGGCTATAGACTTAACCCAAGTAACTAATAGTAGATGTTGAAGGCATGTGGTGTGGAAAATTTTGGTAATCAAGAAGCTCTTCAGTGGGCTCAATGGCTCATGCCTGTAATCTCATTGCTTTGGGAGGCTGGGGTGGGAAGATCACTTGAGGCTGGAGTTTGAGACTAGCCTGGGCAACACAGCAAGACCCCATCTCTTAAGAAATGAAAGTAAATAATACAAAGAAGATCTCTTTTTCTTCAAAGTGTAACAATTATTGTGCTTGCCTTTAAACTACAATAGGCCTAAGCTGCTTTGCCTCATCAACACTTGTGGAAAACCGAATACTTCAGTCCAAAGTTTTGCATGTGTGAAATACCTAGAGAGCTTGTTAAAACAGAAATTCCTGGACTTTACCCCAAAGACTTCGACTCAGTAGAGAATTTGCAGTTATAGCAAGCTCCCAAATGATGCTGGCATTGCTGTCCTCACACTGCATTTGAAGAAGCATAGCTTTCATCCCGAAAAAAATGTGAATTCAAGGCGGGTAGACTAATTTTGATTTATATCTAAATTTTCAGCAAAAGCAGATTACTGAAAGACAATACAGTAAAATTGTAAATATGATAAGGTTAGAATGCTGTATCACTTCACTCAAAATACGATAAAATGGAATGGGATGCAAAACCATAATGTCAAAAGAAATATATGAATACACAGAAAAAGGTTTATAAAGAAATACATCAAAATAGTAGGAGTTGTTATTTTTCAGCAGTAATATTGTGGGTGATTTAAAACTTTTCATAGTTTTTAAAATTTCCCGCATCACTTAATAACATCAATATGTTATTTTATCATTAAAACATGTATTTTGTCATTAAAATACATTTAAAAACATGTATCTAGAATTTTGACCCTGGAGTAAAATGACAAGAATATTTGTGATAGAGCAAAATCACATTAGTTTTATCATCTGAATAAAGAATTTAAGAAATTTTAG